AAAAGATGCCCTTTAGTATTACTCACCAAATATCTATGAGTTTCACAAGCTTATACACGGATGAATAGTTGAACCAATCACATCACTGACGATTAGAATATGAAGTTAGGAAGTATTTAGAACTTTAGAGTGCATCACAGTTAAATTTATTTAGCGAATATTAAGTGAACCTCTGGTATCTGACAACCAAAAACCTATTTTGGCTGGTTTTATTCTTCAAATATGTGAGATGATTAATTTCTGTGATGCACATAACGAAAATCAACATATTTAGTTCAGCATTGCGAAATGCATTCAGAAGGTTCCTAATTATTTTGGTTAAATGGTATCCAGGAAATTAATTGTTGAAGCCAGAGGATGTGACCACGTTTCATAAAGACAGACTGATGGAGCTACCATAAATATTAACTATTGATATACTATTAGCTTATTACAGATAACTGAATGAAGAAGTTCCCATTACGTCTCATGCTTGTGTGCCTGTAAGTGCAAGATTCTAGTGCATGACTTCTGAATCGATTAGGTGTCTCTGTACTTAGGCCAGATGGATATCATGAAGTTCTAATGAGAAGATAAGACCTGTGGAGCCAACCAGTCGGTAAGGAAGCGGATGCCATCAGAAGACTTTGGGTGATAGTCACTCAATATCACAGATTGACAGAAGTTAGAAACTGTGAAACAATGAACTCCAATCCAGTGGCTGAATGGTTAATGCACTCACCATGAAACCCGAAGGTCCTGGGTTCGATCACTAGCGAAGTCATGGACGCGCGCAGTTGAGGAATCCTATACTAGGACGAAAGAGCTGTCCGGTGCCTCCAGGTCTTCAGTGGTTCTCCAACTGATTTCAGTTCGAGATGAGTACTACCTCAAAATATACTTCTGCCGGCACATATCTGTAACTGTCATCTTTTGTTTACCTTTCGTAAGTAAAAGTAGACTTCATTTGTCCGGGGGAATCGGATATTTTATAAATGGAATGATACTGGTCAACTGTCACAGTGGATAAACAGATCAAAAGACAACTGATTTGTTACGTTAGATCTTAAATTCTGTCAACTGCAGGAGCATTATCACTAGTTTTAAAGATAGTGGACTGTTTCATTACATCTCATTTCATCTTCCTTTTGGCTGTTCTCTGAAAATTTAACGATTTCAGGAGAGAAAGTCCCCACAATTGTTTGAATTTATTTAGCAGTGGTTTCAAGTCATATTGGTCAGAAAATTTATTTTGAATTTGCTCTGGCAATTTCCCCTATATTAATAAAAAGGTGTAAACTATGATGTAAATACGCGATGTGGTTATATTCTTGCAGATGCATATGTTTTTTCATGGCATATGCCTTTATGGCAATTTCAGTCGACAGCATAAGTACTAACTTCGCTAAGAATTGGACCCTTAGACTGGAAGAAATTTGTACATTTTAGAAGAAACTTTCAGAATATTACATGTTTTCTGAAAGCCTGTTGCTGATAACAGTATATAATCAGTACGCATACTGACAAATACGCAGTCTTTCAGTCAACGACCGAAAAGTCACAATCCTACGGTTCATAACTTGGTTCGAAAAGTAAATTTCAGAATATAGAATGATGACAAAGTCAGAAAGGAAAACCAGTTGGCTCTAGGGTCACCGTAAAAGACTACTAACCATTTGTAGAGGAATTCATCTGACTAATTCAGTAAAACATTATAATATCAAGGTATTAGAGAAAGGAGATTTAAATGGATATTGAGTACATTAATTTAAAATCGCATTAAGTTGGCTTCATTTTCAAGACTGACAGTAGTAAATGTTCTGGAATAAGTCAGAGAATTTCAGCGAAGTGTGGAAGCAAATTCTAAACCATGAATTTACGTAATCGTGTTAGAATACATACGGTAATGTAATTATATACAGACTGCGGCTAACTAAGGGGGGTAGAAAGAAATAGTAGGTCGTTATCTACCTACCTACAAAAATCGGAATTGTGAAGCAGAAGACATTACATGAACCCCAGAAAGGAGATAAACATGCGTTTAAAAAAATCAAGTTAAATTCATTTGATTACTCTAACTTCGATTACTTGAGTGAGGTTTGATATTCGCTACATGTCTACATCACTGAGGACGGTGATTCTGTGGATTTTCTTATATTTTTCAACTGAATAACGAGTTACCTCAATACTGAAGTTTTAGCGCTTTCAGAACATTTTAGCACATAATTATTTTCTTCCCCTTGAGTTCCTAGTGAAACATAGGGCTTCACTAGCACGTCTCCATTACACTGTCTTCTCTGTACTCTTTCCAACCTGGCTCCACCAATGACCAAAAACCTCTAATTCCATCCTCACACAATCTTCTCCATGTCACCATCGACACCAACGACCAACTCGTCGTTTCCCATCTGGGTTCTACTCGAGTGCCTGGCCTCGACTGGCGCGTGATGTCCTCGAATGGTCTTCTCAGTGTATTCCCAATCCATATCAACTTCCTTCTGCATATTTGTTGAGTGATAGGTTCTTCGTTAGTTCATTGCTGGCCAAAAATTCTTCTGCTGATTTTTACTGTTCTGACCATCTGATCCTCAGCTACGAGCGTACGCAGTTGTTCATGAATATCTGCAGTTTAATGGGCATGCTTTGCGCAACACGCTGAGTTTCCCAACCATCACATAGAAGCACCGAATTGACATTGGTGTTGTAATTCAAGATCTTCTTCTGAATGTTGAGTGTAGTGAAGCGCAGTGCAGTAGATCTCCACACTGGTTTCCGGTTTTTGAAAGAATGTCTGTGTTGCTGTCTTTCCGATCCTCACTACGACATCCTCATCTATGCCACCACCGTTCGCAGTTGAAACGATGCTGCACTGCCTAGTAAGGTAGATGAAAGACGCTACTTCCTTCAAGTTTCTTCCGTCGATGCTGATCGGTGCCTCTTGTTGTTGGTGCTGTTGTTGGTTGACTATCTTTATCACCTCCATCGTCTCCACTTTCACTTGAAGTCCCATCTTCGCTGACCTGCCTCGCCTCTTCTGTCAACTTGTTGATTTCCGCCTGCAGATCTTCAAGTTTGTATGACATTAAACATAAATCATCACTGGCAAAATCCAAAAGTTCTAGGCTCATTTCATTGGTCAAGCGTATACCCCTCTTCTCGCTCCTCATCTAGTCAACCACAATCAGGAAGATCATGGGCGGTAGTAGTCAGCCTTGTTTCACTCCTTCCTGTCTTCACATCAAAAACGTCACTGAGCTTCACATTGTGGATCACTTGGCATGTGGCGTCTTCATATAGCTGTTGTTGAATGAGGCTGATAAGGGTTTGCGATATTCCGCAGTGTTGGAGCAGCTGAATGCCGAATTACTTGTTGGTCGACGCTGTCAAAGGCCAGCCTTTTCCAAGTCGATGAAGTTGAGGTGAGGTGGAGAGTTGACTTGACTACCATTCTATGCTCTGTTGTATGATGATGCATAGTGTAGCGTTGCAATTTGATCCGCACATGATTTGTTCTTCCTGAATCCAGCCAGCCAGTCAGACAGCCAGCCTGTTCCGGTAGTATTTTTGAATCTTGCGCATCCTTTTGTCTCTTCAGGATGATGTGGCCTAATATTTTGCTTGGGGTGGAGATGGAAGGAGCATGATTTCTCGCCAGTTCTTGCAAACACTGAGGTCTCCCTTCTTCGAGAGTTTGACAAGGTAACCTTTCTTTTAATCAACCAGCACGTACCTTTCCTTCTTTCCTAACCTTCTGCAGTAGTGACAGGAGCATGTCCGCTGTTGCTTCTGCGTCTGTTTTCAGCGCTTTCGATAGAATTCCATCTCATCCTGCTGCTTTCCGGGATTTCAGCAGGTTTATGGCATTATGGCTTTACAACGTAATTAAAATACTTTTATTTATTCTCCTAATCCCTGAGAAACATTTAAGTTTAACAGATTGAATTGATTTAAATTTGTCCTAATTTGCCAAAAATGAAACGCTAAATTTGTATTTTTAGCTTAAATATTTTATTTATGACTTATGTGTAAATGATAAGTTTTTGGGAAAAAAGAAAAACTTCAGTGTATAAATGTTCTAATTTGCACGAAATCTGCTGTACATTTAGATTATCTCACAATTGTGAGATTTGTTGACATTGTTTTGCAACCAAGAAACAAAACAATATTTGTTGAATAAAAAAATTTGTTTGCTTAGTTATCCAAAAAAGAGAACCATTACTTTATTGCATATGTGTTTCAGCGGTAAATACAATCGAAGATTTTAGTTATCTGTATAAAACGAATTATTAAATTGTGATCAGTCTGGAATTTTTCTTTCATTGCGGTTTTTTGAGTTAGAAATCATTCTGAAAATGCTGTTCACGTATGATATCCTATCAAGAATACATAAAATTTGAAAAGGATGTGTTATTGTTCTAGATTACTTCTTTTGTGAGATCACGTTTATAGATGATTTCAGCAGGCTACTTCAATGAAGCGGATTTCCATTCAGAAACACTTCACATTTTATGAATTCTTAACTTATACTAATGTAATTAATATAAATATATATTCAGCGGATTATTGTCACTTTCAATGGAGTTATACCTTCAGTGATTAATGTGATGGATATCACAGGAAAAAACAGGAAGGTCATCAGAGTTTCGTCTTGATAAAAAAGACGTGGAGTCACGTGGATGTATTTAAACATTTAATAGAATGTAGTTCAAAGTAGTTAGAAACAAGCAAACGTGTATCTATTACCTGTTAATGATGTATTTTACAAGAAATACAGATAATTAGATTACCGATAAGCTATTCAGTTATTCTGATGGTCATTTGAGAACTGGTTGTTTTGTCGCAGCTATTTTAATTTAATCCCACTAAAAACTGACTTATTTCGTTGTTTTCTTACATTAAAAAAATTAGGAGCAAACAGAAACATACTTTTAATCATCTTTTGTGTGGAGGCTTTACTGAAAATTGTTGCGCTGGGTTTCCTTTTCCACCGGAAAGCATATTTAAGAAATATATGGAATATTATGGATTTTATTGTTGTGGTTACAGGGTAAGTTATTGGTGTCTATTTTATACATTATGAGAAGTTTTATGAATAACCTATAGATGTAATCGGTTTGAATCTTATCGATATCCAAATTTTCTGATACCAAGTTATCTCATCAGACCTATAGTAGATATTAGAAACATTCCAACTTACGAGTTGTTTAAATATTTAGCAATGGTGTTAAGCCCAATAAGAAATCAATCGAAATCTCGACTTACAAACCCTTATGACTTAAAGCACAGACTAGGTGATATACATTTAGATGACAATGAAAAAATTGTTAGTTTTGACATAACTGGCCTTCAGACAAATATACCAATCAACATGGCTGTAGAGGCAGATAGAAATGAGCTTAAGGATAACAATGACCTTACGCTTCGAAATAAGTTACTGATCGAAAAGGTCATGCTAGGAGTACGACTGTACTAAACATCTACAGTTTTTATGTTTTAAAATAAAATATCTAAACAAACTGGAGCTGTTGCCATGAGATCACTAATATTCCCTATCGTCGCAGACATATTTATGGATATTTGGGAACGGATGGCTCTTCAAAAATTTAGTCCTACTCCAGAGACATGGATATGAGATGTAGATGATACGTTTGTAGTACTGAAATCGGGACACATCGATAGGATCTTGGAACACATAAATTCAGTAGTGAATGCAATCCAACTCACCTATGACTTAGAAAGTGATGAAAATGAGCTAGCAATATAGGACTGCAAGAATAAACGAACACAAGATGGAAGACTAGTAATAGAAATGATTGTGCACCTGTCCCAGATAGATGGAAAGTTCTACTACCCTTGTCATCACAGAGAAGGAGAGAAAAATCAAGAATATATAAAATCTATCTCAAAGTTGTGGAGTTACCTGATATGAAATTGTATCTGAAACCTAACCCAGTAAATGATATCATTTCATTGTGTGATGTTTCTAATAAACAGACAAAAACGAAATTATAATCTACAATCTGACGAAGAAGGGAGACCTCAGTGTTTGCAAGAACTGGCGAGAAATCATGCTCCTTCCATCTCCACCCCAAGCAAAATATTAGGCCACATCATCCTGAAGAGACAAAAGGATGCGCAAGATTCAAAAATACTACCGGAACAGGCTGGCTGTCTGACTGGCTGGCTGGATTCAGGAAGAACAAATCATGTGCGGATCAAATTGCAACGCTACACTATGCATCATCATACAACAGAGCATAGAATGGTAGTCAAGTCAACTCTCCACCTCACCTCAACTTCATCGACTTGGAAAAGGCTGGCCTTTGACAGCGTCGACCAACAAGTAATTCGGCATTCAGCTGCTCCAACACTGCGGAATATCGCAAACCCTTATCAGCCTCATTCAACAACAGCTATATGAAGACGCCACATGCCAAGTGATCCACAATGTGAAGCTCAGTGACGTTTTTGATGTGAAGACAGGAAGGAGTGAAACAAGGCTGACTACTACCGCCCATGATCTTCCTGATTGTGGTTGACTAGATGAGGAGCGAGAAGAGGGGTATACGCTTGACCAATGAAATGAGCCTAGAACTTTTGGATTTTGCCAGTGATGATTTATGTTTAATGTCATACAAACTTGAAGATCTGCAGGCGGAAATCAACAAGTTGACAGAAGAGGCGAGGCAGGTCAGCGAAGATGGGACTTCAAGTGAAAGTGGAGACGATGGAGGTGATAAAGATAGTCAACCAACAACAGCACCAACAACAAGAGGCACCGATCAGCATCGACGGAAGAAACTTGAAGGAAGTAGCGTCTTTCATCTACCTTACTAGGCAGTGCAGCATCGTTTCAACTGCGAACGGTGGTGGCATAGATGAGGATGTCGTAGTGAGGATCGGAAAGACAGCAACACAGACATTCTTTCAAAAACCGGAAACCAGTGTGGAGATCTACTGCACTGCGCTTCACTACACTCAACATTCAGAAGAAGATCTTGAATTACAACACCAATGTCAATTCGGTGGGAAACGGCGAGTTGGTCGTTGGTGTCGATGGTGACATGGAGAAGATTGTGTGAGGATGGAATGAGAGGTTGTGGTCAGTGGTGGAGCCATGTTCGAAAGATTGCTGAGAGAGTGCAGAGTGCAATGGAGACGCGCTAGCGAAACCTTATGTTCCACTAGGAACTCAAGGAACAAATAATAATAGTAATAATAATAATAATAATACTGTGTTCAAGTTTTCCTTCCAAACTGATGATATCAGTTTTGAGAATTGAGAATTAAGTTCATTGGCACGTATTTGGTTGCCAAAGTAGAATAACAATAAATTTGTTGTCACTGTTTGGACGGAAACTCAAATAAAGTATTGATGAATCGGTATTTCATTCTGAAACTTTTCCAGAAGACCGTATATCCTTATTTTATAAAACTCATACTTTTATGAATACTCAGAGCGTTTTACCCTTAGTAGTGTTAGAATTTTGCAGTCTTGAAACTCCTTAAATTTAAGATGATTGAGTAATTCTCGTGAGATTTTTTTCAGCAAGTCTGCGGTTAGAAAAAACAAGATTTGAATGATGATCCAAATAAGTAATATCATAGTAATGAACAGTTTATTAGTGCAAACTGTGTGCAATGACAGTATACATGAGAGGGTTTATAGAAAATAAGTTCACATTGACTAAGTGAATTAATTAATTCACAATTCAAGATAATGCCGAAACGGAGAAACCTCAGAATAGTAAAAATATTCTGAGAAGCTAACGAAAACTTTATTGATTTAGTGTTTGAAGTTTCCTTGTAACTCAGCTACACAACTTTATGATGTCAAATAAGTAGCATTTTCAGACTAAAGTGAAGCCATTTCACTAGTTACCTCTCCACATCTACAAAAAGCCTAGGATATGAAGAGATGTGACCCAGAACAATATCCGAAACTTTCCTTTGTGTTAGAATCAGGCAAATATGCACAGTATGGAGGTAAGACAAGGTAGATAAAATAAAAATGATTGTTGTTAGCATCCAAGATGAGGACACTAGATCATTATTATTCTTATTAATATTACTATTAGTCCCTTGGGTTCCTAGTGGAACATAGGGCTTCAGTAGCACGTCTCCACTCCACTCTCTTCTCTGAAAGCTTTTGAACCTGGCTCCACGACAGCCCACAAGTTCTCATTTCCTCCTCTCACGACCTCCTCCATGTCACCCTCGATACCGACGCCCAACTAGTCAATTCCCATCGGGGTTCCACTCGACTGCCTGGCCTGACACGTGATGTCCCCAGTCAGCCTTCTCAGTGTATGCTCAATACATCTCCACTTCCTTCTGCATACTTGTTGCGTGATAGGTTCTTGGTTGGTTCGTTCCCAGAGCTCCTTGTTGCTTATTCTCATTATTCTGGCAGTCCATCTGATCTTCAGTAGTGAGCGTAAGCAGTTGTTGATGAATATCTGTAGTTTGTTGGAAATCCCTTTCGCAACGCGCCAAGTCTCTCAACCATCACATTGAAGCACTGACTTGACTGATGTTCGTGTTGAAAATCCGGATGTTGTTCCACATGCTGAGTGGAGTGCAGAAGATCTCCACACTGGTTTCAGGTTAATGAACGAAGGCCTGTCTTGCTGTCTTTCCAATCCTGACTTTGACATCTTCGTCTGTGACTGTGCCACCAGTAGTTGAAACAGTGCTGCGTAGGAGAGTGTGTGAAGGAGGCTACTTCCTTTAAGTTTCTCTCATTGATGGTGATTGGAGTTTGTTGTTGGTTGGGTATCTTCACCACCTCTGTCTTCTCTATATTTACTTGAAGTCCCGTCTTCCTTGGCTGCCCTGCTCTGCCTCTTCTGTCAACTTGTTAGTTTTCGCTTGTACATCTTCAGGTTTGTGTGACTTTAGACACAAGTCACCGGCGAAATATATATCTTCTAGGATCTTTTCTCGGGTCCAGTGTATCCCCTCTTCTCGCTCCCCGCTGTTTGTTGCGTGATCTAGTCAGCCACAATCGGGAATATCATGGGCGGTAGTAGTCAGCCTTGTTTCACTCCTTCCTATCTTCACTTCAAAAGCATCGCTGAGCCTCCCATTGTGAATTACTTGGCATGTGGCGTCTTCATATAGCTGTTGTTGAATGAGGCTGATAAGGGTTTGCGATATTCCGTAGTGTTGGAGCAGCTGAATGCCGAATTACTTGTTGGTCGACGCTGTCAAAGGCCAGCCTTTTCCAAGTCGATGAAGTTGAGGTGAGGTGGAGAGTTGACTTGACTACCATTCTATGCTCTGTTGTATGATGATGCATAGTGTAGCGTTGCAATTTGATCCGCACATGATTTGTTCTTCCTGAATCCAGCCAGCCAGCCAGCCAGCCTGTTCCGGTCGTAGTTTTGAATCCAGTGCAACCTTTGTCTCACCAGGATGATGTGGCCTAATATTTTGCTTGGGGTGGAGATGGAAGGAGCATGATTTCTCGCCAGTTCTTGCAAACACTGAGGTCTCCCTTCCTCGGCAGATTGACAAGGTAACCCTTCTTCCAGTCAGTGGCCAGGTGCCTTCCTTTCCTTCCACACCTTCTGCAATAGTGGTGTGAACATGTCCGCCGTTGTCTCTGCGTCTGTTCTTAGTGCTTCTGGCAGGATCCCATCTGGTCCTGCTGCTTTTTTATGCATTTTGGTAGCTTTATGGCGTTCAGGACTTCAACTTTTGTTGAAGGATTTATGTCCACTTATAGTTCCGTGACTGGGCTGTAGGTGGTATTTCTAGACGAAGTGCAGGTGGTGGTGGTTGATTCAAGAGTTTCTTGAAGTGGTTGGCTCATCGTTTCCTTTGTTCCTCTTCTTTGGTAATTAAATTTCCGTCATCACCTTTATTGGTTTCATATGTGTTGACCTTTTCCCTGCCAGATAGTAACCTGATAGCAACCTGGCTATTTGATACAATGTTGTCAGATCTCTCCTACCTGCAGTCCGTCCTACTTCACTTGCCAGTGTTTCGTGGAAGTGTCTTTTGTCTTTCCATGCACTCTTCTTCACTTCTTTGTCCAGTGTTTTATACATTGTGCTCAGTTCCTCTTGTCGTTGAGCATCCTTGCACTGCACTGGTTTATCTTCTGCTTCACCATCCTCCTCTCCCTGCTCTATCAGCTTCCATGTGTCCGTCGAGATCCATTCCTCATCTTCTTTCTTCTTCCTTCCTAATACTGTTGTGCAGGTTTCTTTCCACATAGCTTTCAAAGACTTCTAGTATTCTTCCACACAGGTTTCTTCAGGGGTGTTCCTCGATATCTCCTATTTTGTCGTGATGGCTGGCTGACGTGAAGATTTCCTTTGTAGTTTCGTCTTTAAGTTTCCGAGTGTTGTACTTGAACTGCGGTCTGTCACCAGCTTCCTTGAAGGCTTTTAACTTGATTTGAGAGGTTCCTTGCACTAGATGGTGAGTGGTGTGAACCTACATCTGCTCCTCTTCTTCACCTTGTGTTAAGTAGACTGCGTCTCCATTTACTTGAGATTGAGATAAAGTCGATTTGATTTTTAGTGTGTCTATATGGTGAAATCAATGGCGCTCACTTTGTGGATATCCTTGTGCTTGAACACACTGCCTGACTACAATCACCAAATGGTTGAATGCACAGAATTCTGCAAACAATTCTCCATTCTCGTTCATCACCTCACCGAGCGCTTCGCGACCCATTGTTCTGTTTGTTCTCTTCCTGTGTTGTCTACTCCCAGTTTGGCATTCATGTCACTCCACCCATTAGGATTTTGATATCGCCAACTTCAGTGGTGTCTTGTCCAGTGTTGATTGCAGTTGTCTGTAGAATTCCTCCTCCTTCTCTTCTTCTGCATTATTTGTAGGTGCACAGCCTAGCATTGTATGATTGTGACCTTCCTTCCTTTTGAGTTCAACCTTGCTGTCATCATCCTGATCGTGAAGGAGATTGGTTCCCACTGCATGAGAGACAGTGTTCGATGCTCTTGGGGACATCATGATGGCCACTGGAGAACTCAGTGTGCTCGTGGTTGTCGTCTGGGTGACAATATCGGAGTAGATTATTGATTCTGCAGTTGACAGTTTGGAGAGTCCACTCTCATTCCATCTGCTTTCGCAAATTCCTAACACTTCAATGTGATACCTCTTCATCTTGTTTGCAATCTGGGCTGCCTTGCCAGCTAGGTTCAAACATCGTGCGGACATTCCATGTCCCCATCCTTACTTTCGCTTTCATCGAGGGAGGTGAAGAGACATCGGCCAACTGGCTTCGCGAAGGCAGGCTTTCACCTACCGGCGTCATTTTGCCTCTCCGATTCGAGCGAGGAATCAGTTTAATTTTGTCTTATATTTTGTTTGTGCTTTGAAGTTTCTTTAGTGGTTAGATTTGTTTTAGGGGTAGGGTTGCTAGCCCTATGCCTAACCTTCCCTGTTTACCCGGGCTTAGGACCGGCTAGTAACTAGTGAACTAGTTAACCAGGCAAGGTTACACTAGATCATGGTCACATTGTAATGAGAACTGAACGATATAGAGCAATATGGACCAGTGTATTCTAGCATCAAATGGAAACATATTCACCTTCAGATTCGATTATCTTGGAATAAACATTTGAAGGGATCGTGGGTGGGTAGTGCTGAGGAGTCAATAACTAAAATAAAACATCTTTTCTGCACTATCAGGTTTAAAATAGTTCTCTGGTTGATATTTTAGTGTTAATTGCAGAAACTTACAGCAATTGTGTAGAATGTGACAGCTCGAAAAATCTGTGGTAAGCTGACAATTACAGACCTGTGAATCAGTATACAATGTCATAAAGTGAATCTATAACATTGAAAACTGAGATCCAAGTAAAAACTGATTTGGAGGTAACATTTTATGTTCTTTATGTTTACGAATTCATACTGATATGGATACTCTCGTAAATATCTCATCCCTTCAACGATAACAATAATAATAATAATAATCAAGCTGGTCATGGGAATAATCGATACTTTAATGGTAAATGAAGTAATTGGATTTACTTATGAAAACATTAGTGCCATAGAATGCAATAAAATTGTGAATAATAAGAAAGAGAAAGGTAGATGCGTCATTAGCAATTCACAAAGTCCAAGGTAACAAAAACGGCGGTACCTCCTTCTTTTGTACAAATAATTCCCGTTTCTCCATGCATATTGCAAGAATTTCTGCAGCGCAGAGAAAGCAGAACCGCACCATTTTCGGAAAATTTCTTTCCACCTTGTAGATAACTTTGAACGCTGAACCATTTGTGATGATCACTGCCGACGAGATGTTCAGTTTTTTAAGTATAAAGCAAAACTTACCAGACGAGATGATGGAACACTTCCATGTATTTATCAATTCATCTGCTTTTGTGGAGCCGGATTTGTTGGTCGTTGGATGCATGTTCTTTCCAAAGGGGTTAGAGAACATTACCCCATCTGTTTGAAAAGAGGTGCAAGTGGATCGATCAAAAGTACGTTAATTGAAAGTGGAACGTTTCTACCTTTTCTGTACTGCAGAAGTTCTTGCCGTATGCATGGATATACCGGTGTTATGTGTAGAAAAGGAACTTGTACAATCTTTGTTGCTAACCCGGATTTAGTAAACTGTTGATAACAAATCAACCCGTATTTCTGTCGTATTAGTATTCACAGCTTTTTTGTATTTTATGATATTTTAATAATTCACTATAGTCTTAATTTTGTTTCCATGCTACCCTTGATTATGCTTTGTCTTGAAAACTGGTTTAACATATAATGCAGCTTTATATTCTATCTAGTTAATTATATTGGCTTCTATGGCCTTTTTTGATTAATTTTCACATCACATCACACTTTTAAATTGTTTAATCTTCATTCAACGTGATCTTTGTTACTAGGTTTAATTAAATAATTATGGTAACTATTGGCTAGAGCTAAACAGATGTGTATAAATTGCTGTGATACAGCTATGGAGAAAGAAATCACTGGAAAAGATATCTTTGCCAAATTTTCGTTTCCTCTAGACTAATTTATATATTACTGGAAGGGGAGGAAAACTGGAGACTTCTTTTCTTTGGGCTGAAAATTGTTCAGTACGACACCCATTCAGCAGAACTACTTGTCACTTTCAAACTATTAGACAGGTTGCTGAGTTGCTTATCAAGTATATGTAAGAAAGTTATAATGCATTGGTTTGCCCAATGAGCACTGCGATGAGGAACAGTTAAGCAAATTACTAAGGAACAGTCTATAGAAACCAAAAAATTCAATAACGTTTCATACATGAATTATCCCATCTGACCAACCCCGGTATTTAACAAGATACCTAATAAATAAACTTAAGTTTAGAATGTGCTTTATGTCATAGTAGGGCTGTCGTAAGTGATATCAGATAAGCTATTCAATCTACAATATAATGTGGTATGACAAAGCATCATAGAAATTCTAGCCTATTATAACAAATTGAGTAAATATTGACCTACTATTATCATTATTATTTGTCCCTTGGGTACCTGGTAGAACACAGAGCTTCAGTAACACGTCACCATTTCACTCCCTTCGCGGCAGTATTTTCAACCTGGCACCACGACAACCCACAAGCTCTCATTTCTTCTCCACATGATCTATCCATGTCACCCTCGCCTCAGACGTCCAACTCGTCGTTTCCCATCTGGGTTCCACTCGACAGCCTGAACTGATCTGGCGCGTGATGTCCCCAAGATTTGCTGCATGATCCAGTCCACTACAATCAGGAAGATCCTTGGAGATAGTTGGCAGCCTTATCTAACGCTTGTCTTCACTTCGAAGGCGCCATTGAGCTTTCAATTGTGAATGACTTCCATGTGGCATTTTCACATAGTTGTTTAATGAGGTCGATAAACGTTTGTGGTAGTAAAACCGTAGTGTTGAAGCAGTTGCCAAATTACTTAAATATTCACCTATTAGTTTGTAAAATTTGAGTGATATGCCTTGTTTTAACTGGAGTTGAGAATTTGTATTTGAAATGAGTACACATGCGGAATATCAAGTGCTTGAATATGTCAAGTATCAAGAATGAAATACTCATACTGAAAAGTTATCAGTTACTTAATTTCGTAAACTATTATTCCCGTTAGTTTTAATTAGTCCCTCAATTTTGGCTAGATACTAATATACAGATTTTAAAATCGATGACAAAATGCTAATCGAACGATTGTGTATGCAATTAACAGCAATTAGAAAATCTCAGTTACTGTACAGGTCAAGATGTAAAATAACCAATAAGATCAACTTATAAAAATATGAAACATTTTGTTTTTCGATATGCTACATAACTCATGGCATGAAGGATGAAGTACCTAGTTAGATGTTCAATTTTTAACAATGAATACATTTGTACGAGGAGATAAAAAAATAAGTGAGCGAAAGTACGATAGTTCGGCTAAAGGAAGACTAGTTGTCATGGCACTTTAGTGCTTTGGGTGAAAATCCAGTAGATTGATCACAGAATTTCTTTTGATTGCAAAAGTTTGGCCAGTGAGGGCAGATGACGATATCTCTCGACGTGTGAAATAGATTAGATTATGTACTACAAAATATAAGGCAGACTTATGCCAACTCTGTGACTACAGTCAAATAAATGTGCAGATATAAAGGTCTTTATTGTCCTTATCTGTCCTTTGGTTAAGCATAATGAAAGCTTCTCAGAAATCTGGTAATGGGCCTGTCTGATTATACACACATGCAACTAGCTCCAAATGCAGTGCCTCAGCTAATAAACATACAAATTGATGTGACTAAATGGTCGTAGAATTAAAGGAGCTAGAAAATGTATGGTAAACTATATTTATCAAACAGTGAAGTGAATTTAATAGCGTTATGTTTCCATAAGAGTACAGCTGCTCCTTACTCTTAACCGGTTTGAAAGTAAGGTTATATTTTAATCTAAACCGCTTACTTTATAAGTGGATCTTTTCTAGGTTATATGGAAAGTTGTAATCTTTCCCAATGAGAAAAAGTGTAGACAATGATAGTTAACGCGTATTTTGCTTATTGTACGTCTTCTCTGTCATAAAGCCTGCTAGCATACATTCTACCCAATCTGAATCAACCTGCTGTTCGTGCTCTACGTGTGTTACGACCACTAAAGTTGGTAACTGGATTTGAAAGTGAGTTTTTGGTATCAGATTTTACCTTGAGTATTATCTAAAAATATTTTTAATTATGTGTTATTCGTCTAACTTGGGAGTTCAATGGCATTGCTGAGTAACAGTCCTCATGTTCAACTTGGCTAGCATCACTAAATACGACGACTCATTAGAACTTCGGGAATGACTTCCTGAAACTAGTCACCAACGAGTACTAGATTAATTCAGTTCTGGTTTCAGGTTGGTATTCATCGTGGACTGACATAAAGTGGGAAAATATTGGAGACCTGGTTACCCTGGACAATTCTTTCGTCCAAATACGGGACTCCCTAGTGGTGCGCACTCATGATGCCACCAGGGCTCGAACCCAGAACCTTCAGGTTCCAAGGCCAGGATGTTACCATTTAAGTTCCTTAGAATTCTGCTAGCTAATAGAACCAGGATTAAGATAATGTAATTTGAATGTAATGATAATAGCAATAATACTCACTTTATTCCCGGTATTATTTTTGATACAGTATGGAATTACTGACACCGTTTGATGATTGGAGGTTAAATGAAAATCTGGATCACAAAAGGATTCTAACTAGTGGTCTTCGAGTTACAGTTCTGTGCTCTACAGACTGAGCTAAGAGATTTGAATGCTGGTCAGACCTTAATTTTACTTCAACCAATAAGGGTTTTGCCGAACTGCCACCACCCAGGTTTTAATTGACCTTCAATCATCGCCCCTTATTGACAATATAAGTCTATCAAACCACGGCTATCTCGGATAGTCAAACTACTACCAAGATGGAACTTTCAGCGTATAACTTTCTGACAAAATTACTCCTTGCACTGGATTTTCTAATAAAATAATTATGACACTTAAATAATGTTAATAGTAATGATATGATAAGCGGTAATATGTAATTGCCAGTTTTTGTTAGGTTATTATCTAGTTGGTGGATACACTGTGTCTGCGGGCAGTGGACATAACAGGAAAGCACCATAAAAGTTATTAAGTGTAGGTTCAGTTAGTTATTATGAGAATCTGCAGGTTCAGATACCTTTTCTTGTGATAGTTTTATGATGTACCGTTGTATGTTGAATGGTCTATTGCCATCCACTTTGATACTTTCTCATAATCTACACATTAACTTGTGAAGTGATAGGCTGAAGACAGTATAATAGTGCACGTGAGTAAATGATACGCTAAGATGATATTTGGAAGATGAAACTATGTCGAAAAGAAACGATTTGATGTATTATAGTAGACGAAAAGATTTTCGTAGCTTAAAACTCAAACAATTCGCCAAGTTCATTTGAAAAGTGTAATGCACTTGTGTAATACATTGTGAAGAATCTAATCACATATCTAATTATTATATATTAAAGCAAAAAACGCTAGGTCGGGGGGCATATCAGACACTTACGATAGTAGTGAATTTAAAATGTAAAAATTATCAAAGATGTTTGATAGTAATGATGAGTAATGGTTAGTAGTGGAATCTGGAAAGTAAGTTTCATCCTATTTGCGACTCTTCAGCTAGATGCGTCTGTTTCCCAGCGTGTGATGTTGTTCCCATTAGGACTTGGACAGTGGGATAATGGGTTCAAATGCCAAATTTCTGTCCACTAGGTCATAATACCTGAAATAGTAAGGGAAGAATAATATATTTCGATCATACTTTAGGTAATAAAGGCAGAGAAGTATTACTAATGTTGGCGTGTTGTAGGGAAAAAAATCGTTCCCATGTACAACATTGGTTTCAATTTGCCTGTCTATCACTTCTGTTCCACTGGTTGTTTTGAAATTAAGTTCTTTCAGCGGTCTAGACATTATTTCTGTGAACCATTTTTTTGTATGCTGAGATTTCATATTCATAAGTATGATATCTAATTACAGTCCATTACTTGAATTTACTAGAATCGTGCAGATTAAGTAAAATACTGTTTCAAAAAAGCCATAACACCGAAGTAACTCTTACAAAGAAATGCAAAACGTATGAATTCTCCCGAAACAGTATTTCATAATAAGCCACTTGAGTCAGAAATTACAGAAAGTAATTAAGCAAGCAATGCTGCAAAAAGGTTGCAAAATATGTCGAAAAAAAGTGGGAAAGCATTCAGCAACCTCATGCATGTTCATAAAGAAGCGATTAGGGTGAATGACACTACGCGGCCACCTAGACCTGAGTATGAGGAAAGGAGTTTGTAGCTATTACCAATTGTATTGAATTCTAGTGTCTAGATAAGTTAGCATGTGACAAGATTTCAGAGTTATAACAAACTGATCCTAAAATGTACCTTTACATAAAACTTGAATAGTAACGGAATATTTAATCTCAAGGAAATTTAATGTGCACAAACTCAATCTATGCATTGAAATAAGTACCGTTTGAACAGGAAGAATTCGTTACGACAGAACGATGTTATAAACATCACTAATTACTAGACTGTGCATTTTAGAACATATGTTCAAATAGACGTTCTATCATGAAACATACCTCACTGATTCACTAAAATAATGACTGCTATCATAAGTATCGAGGTATAGAACAGCAGACTTACAGAGTGAACTGTGTGGATACCGCATTGAAATGAACCACTACTTAAAAAAGGGATGATAAACATAGTGTAGCTGGGATGTGTTCATTCAATAACAAACAGTGGACAGCAGAGTTTCCCTCTTACATTTATGACTCCATTTCTAGTTGTTGTGGTAGCCATATACCAACATGATAAGTAGATTTTGATCAGCGCTTAGTGCTGAGGGCTAGATATAATCAATAACACGCTAGTGAGCGATTAATGTATCTAATCCCGTCAAACAGGGAGTCATTCGTCGCTTAAATAGGTTACTAAAAAATTCTTCAAATGTAGCAAAGAGTTGTGCGGGTTTGAAACAACTGAGAAACACTACTTTCCTAATAATTTCAGATGTGACTTACTGATGAGTGCCAGCAAGCACAAAAGCTACTTCAAAGATTTTCTTCTGAATGACAAAAAACATTCAGCACTAAAATTATAATTATTATTATTTGTCGCTTGGGTTCCTGGTAGAACACAGAGCTTCAGTAACACGTCACCATTTCACTCCCTTCGCGGCAGTATTTCCAACCTGACACAACGACAACCCACAAGCTCTCTTTTCTTCCCCACATGATCTAATCCATGTCACCCTCGCCTCAGACGTCCAACTCGTCGTTTCCCATCTGGGTTCCACTCGACAGCCTGGACTGATCTGGAGCGTGATATCCCCAGTCGGTCTTCTTAGTGTATGCCCAATCCATATCAACTTCCTTCTGCATATTTGTTGGGTGATAGATTGTTGGTGGGTTCCTTGCTGGCCAGAGTTTCTTGTTGTTTATTCTTATTATTCTGACCATCTGATCTTCAGTATTGAGTGGGCATAGGTGGCAGCTGTTGATGTGATGTATGTGTGTGGTTTGTTGGAAATGCTTTACGTGATGCGCCAAGTCTCTCAACCATCACATAGAAGCACTGACTTACTTGACTGAATTAGTGTTGGAAATTTGTATATTGTTCCTGATGGTGAGTGTGTGCAGTGTAGTAGATCTCCACACTGACTTCAGGTTATTGAAGGAATGCCTGTCTTGCTGTCCTTCCGATCCTGGCTTTGACATCCTCATCTGTTCCACTGCAGGCGCCTGTATTTGAAGTGATGTTACCTCGTCTAGATAGGTGGGTGAATGAGAAAACCTTCTTTAGATTGTTGGAGATGATGGTGATTGGTGCTTGTTGTTGATGCTGTTGTTGGTTGGGTATCTTCATCACCTTTGTCTTCTCTACGTTCAGTTGAAAGAATACTCGTCTTCCTTCGCAGCTCGCCTCTTCTGTCAACTTGTTAGTTTTTGCCTGTAGATCTTCTGGTTTGTGCGACGAGAAATTTGACATAAATCATCATCGGTGAAGTCCAAATCTTCTAGGCTCTTTTCATCGGTCCAGCCGGATTATGCCCATTTTTTCTCTGCTTACAATTTGTTGCACGATTCAGTCCAGTCCACCACAACCAGTATTAACATGCTAAGCTAAATCTTTTTGTTATTTTTAAGTTTGTACATGTATCCATTATCAGTTGCTTTGAGTCTATGAATCGTCTTTATCATATAGACTCCATATTCTATTTGCAATACTCTTTTTCTCTATATTTCGTCTTTACTTTATTTGTTTTCCCTTCAGGTTTGCAAATAGTGCTCAAATCTATTATTAGAGCTATGGCTCCGTTACTTCAAATCAGTTTATTAGTCCTATTCGCTATAATTATATTTGCAATTATTGGTTTAGAATTCTATTCTGGTGGATTTCATATGACATGCTTTGATTTGTGTAAGTTATAATGATTAATTTTCTACTTATGTAACATATTATTTAATAGCTTAGTGTGGCGCGTACATAGCATGCAGTTGTTTCTCTACAATAAAACAAGTCGCCTACAATCAACAATGGTCATTTGATGTTAGATTGCTGTTAGGCAACAATTCCTACAGCCTCATAATTCGGTGTATCAACTAATCTGCTACTTTGTCCTTAGATTAGACAATTATATTGCCTGCGTTTATTGTATCAATAATTGTGGCTTCGATGCAAATGATATCCTATCCCTCACTTCAAAGAGCAATATGGTGTACAATGTTGCTCTTGAAGACCACGAAATATATTAGTATTGTTTGGTTCTCTGAACTAGATGGTTTGAACATCAAGTTTTAATTGTCTTCCCTGATAACATAAGCGTTAACGTGAATTTGAAAGAATTTTTCTGTCAATGATTAAATAGTCTCACCTGAAAAGGTTATTTATGATTAGTAATTCCCTTTGATTTTTGTACTACTAAATGTACAAATTCCTCTACTGGTTGTAATCCCACCTTACCTCTGACCTTATAGTTACATATCATTTTACTCTTAGTTTTTTAACTAGACCTATGTCTATACACCTTTTGATTGGTAATTGATCTTAGTGGCAAGCTCCTAGAAGTTCCTTGGTAATTTTCGTTTTCCTTCTGTCCAAAACTTTCAGATTATTAAAACTGAACTAATGTCTACAGTTGTCTACATGAAATGAAATAAGTGGTGAAATTTCTTGTCATTTAGTTACCAATTGATTTTTCGTATAGAGGAAGACGAAGAAAGAAACAATTTATCCAGTGTGGTTTATAGGAGTTGCTACGGATGGTTTTCTAAATGACTCTTCGTTTGTCTTCTTCAGCTGTTAAATCATTTAGTCTGCGTAATACAGCTATTGCATCATGACAGAAAACCTAAGCAGTCAAAGAGAAATTCTGAAAATTTGTGATTCATACTGAAGTGAGTAATTATGGTGTCTTCTAAAACACAACGAAAGCTGCAAAATTAGAACATCCATCTGTAACAACGTAACAACATCAGGGTCATTCACCTAAACTGCAAATATTCTCCCTAATTTCAAGGCATTAGATTATTCAGGAACTACGTTGTAATTTACGTCTGTGATTCACTGATAATTCTATGAATGATATCTACGATCACATATGTTGCACCGTTCATATGTTGTTATATGTTAATCCAAAAGGTTACAATCTTGAACAGAATTGTATTATTTAAACTTCGCCTCCTTATGCCTAGCTTGTAGCTCACCAAAACTGTACTGGTAAATCTGTTAAGTCATCTCTATTCAAGCTGCTGCAACTGCTATTCAAGTCAATTAGATTGATTTAAAGATTCCTCAGAAAGTGAAATGCTCAATTTCGTTGAATACATTTGTACATACAACGATTTACCAACAAACACAGTCCCATAATTTGATAATAATTTTACTAGGACCCAGCTGAAATTACTCGTTACAATAAATATATGTTTCTAACCACTCGGTTGCGCCTTACGCTGCAAATATTTCACAGTCTTTTGAAATATCTATGCATATTGGAAGGATTAGAAAGTATATGCAGCCTGATAGCCTCGTTTTGTCATCTGAATATGAATTGTATGTAGTTACGACATAAACAAACTACCTATAAATACAAAATATAAAATATGTCAGCAGCCGAGTGATTTTATAAGCCAACATCACTTATGATTATTTACAGAGGAATTCTCGAGAGCACAAGACTTACAAACTTAGAAGGCTCATAATCTAAAGAAGAGATTTAGCTATCTGCTGCCCATCACTTCTGTACACACTCTCGTCATTGAGAAATATTTGTTTTGCAATACTGTAACCTTAGCAATCAGTAATCCACTTGGTCATGTTAGCAGAGGAATCCAGGACGCATATTTCTTCCTGTTCTGGATTCATCAGCTTGACGCACCTACACCTCAGTGGTTGATGTTGTTCCCAATGAGACTCAAGCCTCTCACCCACTGCTTCAAATGCCAAAGCATTATCACCTAGGCCACTGAGGCACAATAGCCAACTCTTTTACAGCAGGTATTAGTTACTACTATTCGTCGATGTGCTTTTAATTTCCTATTATTTCAAATTTTCGACCTCTATTAGCACGTAGACTCCTATGCTGATGCCTCGGTATTGCCTGAATATTTGTTATAGTAATCTACTTGATTGTGGCCAGGAGAGCAACTACAGGACGTACATTTCATCCCATTTCATACTCGTCAATAGAGGTTGAATAATTCGATCCAGTAGAACAACAAAGAACTACAAGTATATCAACAAATACTTAGTAATCAGTGCTGATTTATTGTTACGAAGATTCATTGGCTTCCTTGTACAAAAATATTCACCCTCTGCTGAAGTGTAAATCAGAGTAGAAGCTGATTCGAATCTTTTCTTTCATAGTGGCAGGGTAGTAACATAATTTCTTTGATGTTAACTGAGTTATTATGATCTATTCGAATGATTTGTGAAAGGTAGATAGATTTGAAGGAAGGTTTCCGACAATAATAATCAAATGAAAGTAAACAATTTGATGAGAAACGCATGAGCAGTAACCGATATACTTTATTCAACCTGTCAGGTCCTATGTCGAGGGTAGTAAATGGTGTGAAATTGATGGTGGTATATCATATCAACCACTTAAAATTCATTAAAGTGTACTGTGACTGCATCTAAAAATGATTGGTAGAATTTGGTTGCCACTTAAGACTAGATAATCTGAAGGTGGTTCATCACCACTGATCATTCAATGTTTCGTTGAGTACTTCACTGTTTACCCCTTTATTTAAGGTGTATTGTTCAAATGTTTGAAATTCTATCAGTTCGTTGGCGAGTGCAAGTAAAGCCAAATATCACTGGCGAACATCAATTCTTACCGACCATTTTATCAGCCCATACCTTTTCATTATAACTTCACGCTGTCCATCTCTAAGTGAGCAGCTAATAAATAGCTCATTTCAATTCACTAAGTCAATCTTCAGTGGGAAATGACAAAAACAGGGTAGTCCTCAACTATAATAATCCAAACCAAGTTGCAATTTGACATTTGGAAAGAAAATGGACATTTAAGTATAACCATTTTCAGGAAAGCAACATATTCGAACAAATATTTAGATTTCAACTCATCACATTCATTTAGTGTGAAAGTTTCTGTTGCCCTCATTCTTTCAAGAAGAGAACACAATCTAATAATGGATGAAAATGTAAGAGTTAATTATATTAACTATGTGAACAAGATACTTAAAATGAATAATTATCCAGTAAAATTCATTCGAAACATTTAAAACATTACAATGGATCGTAAAAATACTCCTAAATCATGAGGCTGAAGAATAGTTATCTCTTACAGGTCACAAACAACGGATGAAATTAGAAGAGTGCCCAACAACTAGAGTGTTCTACAGATCAACAAACACATTGTATAGCACCTTGATTCATTTGAAGGACGAGACGCCTCTAAACTCACAGTCAAATTGTGAGTATTAATGAAAATACTCAAACTGTAATGTAATATATATTTGTAGGACAAACTCCTCGTGAAATCAAAATTAGAAAAATTAGCACCGAAGAGGTTACACTCGATCCCTTAGAAATCCGGTGGAACTGAAAATACTTGAAAATACATCAGTCATAGCTCTGCGTGCTATAATATCAGGTCATAAGGTTGACTTTGACAATATCGAAATCATTTAAAAGGACTTTAGAAGTTATAGAGAAAGTTTCATAGCAGGAACTCTTCACATACAGAGTGGAATCAAAATTGTCTACATGGAAATAGAGGAGTAAAGCGTAGTTTGACCTACTCTAAACCCACCCCCACATACTGACATAACCAAAATACACGCAATTATACTATTATTATTATTTGTCCATTGGGTTCCTAATGAACACAGGGCTTCAGTAGCACGTCTCCAATAACCTTTATTCTCCGAAATCTTTCGAACCCGGCTCCACGACAGCCCACAACCTCTCATTTCTCCCTCACACCATCTCCTCCATGTCACCCTCGACACCGACGACCAACTCGTCGCCTCTCATCTGGGTTCCACTCGAGTGCCTCTACTGGTCTGGACTGGCCCATGATGTCCCCGAATGGTCTTCTCACTGCATGCTCAATCCATCCCCATCTCCACTTCCTTCTGCATATTTGTTGAGCGATAGGTTCTTGCCTCATTGGTTCGTCTCCAGCCAGCCAGCCAGCCAGCCAGCCAGCCAGCCAGCCAGCCAGCCAGCCAGCCAGCCAGCCAGCCAGCCAGCCAGCCAGCCAGCCAGCCAGCCAGTCAGCCAGTCAGCCAGTCAGAGTATCTTGTAGCTTATTCTCATTATTCTGGCAATCTATCTGATCTGATCTGATCTTCAGTAGCGAGCCAGCGTAGGGGGCAGCTGTTGATGAATATCTGTAGTTTGTTGGAAATCCCTTTCGTAACGCGCCAAGTCTCTGAACTACAACACAGAAGCACTGATTTGACTTTGGTTTTGAAAACCTGGATGTTATTTCACATGCTGAGTGGAGTGTAGAAGATCTCCACACTGGTTTCAGGCTAATGAACGAAGGCCTGTCTTGCTGTCTTTCCAATCCTGACTTTGACATCCTCGTCTGTGTCTGTGCCACCAGTAGTTGAAACAGTGTTGCCTAGGAGAGTGGGTGAAGGAGGCTACTTCCTTTAAGTTTCTCTCATTGCTGGTGATTAGAGTTTGTTGTTGTTGATGATTGGGTATCTTCATCACCTCTGTCTTCTCTATATTTACTTGAAGTCCCGTCTTCCTTGGCTGCCCTGCCCTGCCCTGCCTCTTCTGTCAACTTGTTAGTTTTCGCTTGTACATCTTCAAGTTTGTGTGACACCAGACGCAAGCCATCGGTGAAATCCAAGCATACATGCAGTAAGAACTATCAACACAAGTATGTACGTATAAATCTCAGTCTGTAATTCATACACTCTTCACACACAATACACTAT